GCCCACCGAGACCCCCTCCTCGCGTCGCTCCCACGCGCCCCACCGAGAGACCCCCTCCTGCGTCGCTCCACGAGCCCCACCGAGACCCCCTCCTGCGTCGCTCCAGCGCCCACGAGAGACCCCCTCTGCGTCGCTCCGGAGCGTTCCCGCGTGTCCCTTCCCGCCCCCGCCCCGCCCCCCGCAGCCGCCCAGACCTGACGCCCGGCATCGCGGCCACTTCGCTGGCTCCGGGATCCCCGTCAGCGGAGTCGGGCTCTCCGGGTCCGGATTCTTCAGCACGTTTTGAGCTTCGCCCGGCCGTGGACACACCGGCCGTCCCCACCCTGCACCGCGGAGAAGCAGCCCGGCTCAGGCCGACTGCGGCTCCTTGTCCGTTTGCCCGTCGGTGAACACGTGGGCCGCCTCTAGTCTCTGTTACCGGGAAGACTCGAACGTTTCTGTGCTAGCCTTTGGGGGGACACACTTTTTAGTTTCTCTTGAAACTGAAGGGCAACGACAAGGTCATAGAAAAACAGGTTTTTAACTTTCTAAGAAGCTGCAGTGCAATTTTCCACTCCCATCAGCAGTGTCAGAGGTTCCGCTTGCTTCACGCTTTTGCCAACATTTGGTATTGTCAGCCTTTTTTATTTCAGCCATCCTATTTTTCCTTGATATTTCCTTGATAATTAATGATGTTAAGAGCTTTTTCATGTGCTTACTGACCGCTTGTATATCTTTTTTATTTCTTTGTAAAGTGTCTGCTCAAGTCTTTGTCCGTTAAAAAAAATGTTGGATGTTTGGCTCTGTATTATTAAGTTGCAGGATTCTTTACATATTCTGGATACAACTCATTTGTCAACTGTATGTGCTGTGAATATTTGCTACCAGTTGTGATTTGCCCATTTCTTTTCTTTTTTTTACATTTAATTTTTGTCTTTATTTTCTTGATGATGCTTTTGATGAGCAGAAGTGTCTAATTTTTATGAGGTCTTATTTACCTTTTGTGTGTGTGTGTGGTTGGTGCTTTCCGTGTGTCCTGAGAAATCTTTGCCTACGAGGCTGCAAAGATTTCCTCTTGTATTTTCTTCTAGCAGTTTTGTTGTTTCCACTTTTACCTTCAGGTCTACGATGCAGCTTGAATTGATGTCCGATTGTTGGAGCACCGCTCACTGGAGAATTTTACTTTCCCTGCTCAGCCACTCTGGGACCCGTGACAGAAACCACTGACCATGTGCGTTGGGTCTGTTTTTAGACACTCCGTTCTGATGCATTGATCTTTCCTTTTTCCAATACCATACTCTTTTGATTACTGTAAGTATCAGTACATTTTATTGTTTTAAAAAACAAGATCTTGTGGAGGGGTGGGTATAGCAGTGGTAGAGTGCATGCTTAGCATGCAGGAGGTCCTGGGTTCAATCGCCAATGCTGCCATTAAAACAAAACAAAACAAAACAAGATCTGAAGCAAAAGGAAGAAAATGGTAACATGTCTTAAATCTAGTGGTGGATCCATGGATTTTGAAAACTTTCAAATATTTTAAAATGTAATAAAAGACAAATTCCATTCACAACAGCAAAAAACACTTGTAAGTACCTATGAAGAAATTTAACAATAAGTGAACAAGTTCTTTTTATAAGAAAAAAACTGTAATAGGTTATGACATAAAATTTACATGAATAATTGAGAGGTAGACTATTTTCCTGGAAAGGAAGACTAAGTATTATAAATTTAATGCAATTTCTATAAAAATCGTAATAGAGTACTTTAGGAACTTAAGTTCACTCTCAAGCTAATCTAGGCAAAACCAGTAAGAGTGGATAGCAAGGAAAACTTGAAACATGTCAAAGGAAAGTTAACTAAGGGAAATTTATCTATCTTTCGGCAAATCCATCTGAAAGCTCTGATAATTACAATAATACAGTACAGGCAAAGGGACTGACTAAAAGATAAGTGAAGTAAAACAGATACAAATGAATTTAGCTTGTGATGAAGGTGGTATTTCAAACCAGCAGGGAATAGGCAGTCCACTTTCTGAACCATGTTTGTTGAGCAGAGTGTCTGGGGAGGTAAAATGCCGTGTCTTCCTTGTTTTACATACACACAATTCCAGACGGATTCAAATCTAAACTAAGAATGAAAACTTCCAGTTATAGGAGAAAATGTTCGCAACATGCATAAAAGACGGTATGTCTGTATCCACAACATTGAAATACCTCTGAACGTTAAATCAATGCCTCAGCATGTTTGAGTGTTTGCAAAAGGAGGCATTTGAAATGCTTTGAGAAACAAATAACCATAAACTTTAAAACTACAAAGCAGTACGAGGCTATAAAACGGTGCCTCGAGAACGCAGAGTTGGGGGCGGCCTCTGCTTGGGTGACTCCCTCCCCCACCCACCCCGGAGTCAGGAAGAGGCCATTCCAGGGATGGTCCTGGCTGAGCGGGGCTTGAAGGAGCCTGGGGTCCGTGCTCCCACGTGGTGACTGTGTCTGTGTGTGTGGGTTTGCATGTGCCGTTTGGGACAACTTCTCTTTAACCCCCTGTGTGAGCTTCCAGTGGCCTCTTGTAACCACTTCTCACAAACATGGTGGCTAAAATACAACTCGAATTTATCCCCTTGTAGTTCTGCTGCCCACAAGTCCAACATCAGTTTCACTTCACGAAAATCAAGGCGTTGGTGTCGGCAGGGTCCCTCCAGAGGCTCCAGGGGAGACCCTGTCCTTGCCGCCCCCGGCTTCCGATCCTGCACTCCTTGGCTTGTGGCCTCTTCCTCCATCTTCAGAGCCAACATCATAGCCTCTTCAAATCTCTGCCTCCATCGTCACATCGTCCTCTGCCTTCTCTGTGTCTAATCTCCGTCGGTCCCTCTTATAAGGACCAGGACCCTTGGGATGGCATCTAGGGACCATCCAGACAATCCAGAATAATGTCCCCATCTCAGGACCCTTCACTTAAATACACCTGCAAAAACTTTCTTTTTAAGATGACATTCACAGGGCTAAGACCCTGACATTCTTGGGGTCTCCATTTGGCCTAGTGCCCCGTGTCACTCTGTCTTTTATGCTTAGACATTAAACTGGAGAAACACGCAGAGCCCACACGTCGGCACGCCCAACCTGCGTGCTTTCCTGTCCTGCAGAGGCCGCAGGGCTAGAATCCCGCTTCCCAGTCACCATTGCCACAAACTCACAAGGGTCTTGAAGACAGAGGACTACTGGGTGGTGGCCCAGGTCAGTGACGTAGCTTTGGGTCATTCCTGGAAGCCTGGGATGGCTCTCATCTTCAGTCCTCCCGACAATCAGGAGCGGGGACTGGCACCCCCAATAAACCCCTTATCATTCAAACCAGACAAAGTGAATTCCTGCGGAGCCCTGGCTGGTATAGTCCACAGAGGCAGGGCAGCCTTGGTGACATCTGACACTTTGTTGGGACACTGGATCTCAGCCACGGCAGCAACGGGAACACCCGGGCAGCAGTGAGCAATACCCACCCTCGAGCCTTACGGAACCAGGGCAGCTGTGGGGGCGTCTGGCCCAGGCGGCTTTAACAGCTCCTCGGTTGAGTCCCGCGGGCGGCACGGCTGAGAACTGCGGCTTTGGGCGCTGCCTGTGCAGCTGCGTTTGGCTTCTGTCCCACTGACGGGTGATTTATACCTACACCGTTTCACTCCACCAGGCTCCACGGCTGCAGCCGTCACGGCTTGAACATCCCAGAACTCACCCAGCCGACCTTCTGTTACTGGTCGTGTCATTGCCTGCTTCACACGGGCCATCCGGGGCGCTTCCGCAGACCCCTTAGGTTACCTTCCCAAACACAGAGTTTTTGCACTCAAGGTCATCCACCTCCATGCTTTTCAGAGTCAGTATCTTCCATCTGTGTTTTTCCCCTGAACTTGTGTTTCTCTGCTTAGGATGGTGTGCTAGTTATTTTCCTGAAGGATCCATCAGTCATCCGGGACCCTCTGCGTGCTGATGACCTGCGAGTGAAATTCCTCCAACACAGGTGAGGTGGGTCTGTGGGCAGCAGGAGCCCCCGCAGGGCTCTTCATTCCCGCTTCAGCCCCAGAAAACATAGCTCAGGGAGGCTTTAATTCAGACTTGGAGGTCAGAAGATGACTTCGCAAAAACAAAATTGGCAGCGAAAGTGGCTGAAATTAAATCTTTTCTTGGATCTTGGCAGAAGAGAGGCTGACCTTGGAGGAAGGAGTTTGGGGATCAATTCCTTTCCTATTTGTTATTCAGGAGTAGAGGTGAGGGAGACAGGAGGCCAGCCCACACCCCGATCATGGTGCCATTTGCTCAGCTGTCACCAGGAGCGGGTGTGGGGCTGCGGTCCCCTGCGGCCACATTGCCCTGTGGATTCAGGCCTCCTCAGGAAGCAGCCACGGTTTCGAGTCAGGAGCCTGACTCCCCCAACCCGCGGTGCAATTTTGGGGGAAAATGGGTGAAGTGAAGGGGCCCTCTGGAGGGGGCATCCCGGCAAGGGTGGAGCAGAGGCAGCCATGCACCAGGGGAGCCAGAGACCAGGCCATGACCTGTGCAGACCCTGATGGCGGAGAGCGAGCTCTCTTGGACGGATCGGTGCGGAAGGAGATGCCCTGTGGTCTGAGTCACATTCTGGGAACAAGGGGGGAAGAGAGGTAGGAGCCAGAGTGCGACTAGAAATGGTATGAAGATTAGCAGGGCACCCCTGATGGGATAAGTCCCCCTTGTGAGCCGCCACACCAGTCCTGTCTGCCTGGGGCACCGGCCTCTGCCTGACCCAGGGGGACCAGGGCCCTGGCTGAGCTGGAGCAGACCTGCCCACCTCCCAGGGAGAGCCGGGCTGAGGCCCCGATGACAGGCACACCCTCAGAATGACCCGACGCCTCTTCCTCCGCGTGCACACCTGGGCCGGCGGGCGGGGAGCCCCAGCTCATCCCGGGTGTCCGTCAGCGGGTGCACACAGGGTCAGTGTCGGGGGGACGCGGGCCCAGGCCCCTTCTCCTCCAGGTCAGCCCCGCGCTCTTCCCCACTGTGCGTGGAGCTGCCCCTGGGCTGGTCACATCCCTGCGCCATGCCTCAGTGTTCCCATCCATGCATGGGGAATTTTAAAGCCTGCTTTCCTCGAGGGGAGCCGGGACGGGCTGAGCTAAGTTCTGTAGAGCGCCGCGGACGGGCAGACCCAGTTCCTGCTCACCGCACGCTGGGCTTCTAGAACATACAGGAATCCCACCTCCCACCTGGGCTTTCAGGTTCAGCCCTTCCCAGACAGATCCGGCAGAGGAGGGGCCCCAGTCCCCCTAGGTCTTCCTCCCACCGCACAAGCTGTGCTCCTGGAGGGACAGTGAGCACAAGTATCTTCTCAGGCTCCCGACGGCCCCGACACCCCTCCAGCCTTGTCTGCGCCTCCTGAGCCTCGTCTGGTGTCTCGGGAGCTCGGCAGCCCCAGCCCAGCTTCCTGGGGGCAGGGGAACGGGGAGAGGTCAGCAGGAGGCCTGTGACCTCAGTCACCCCTACCCCGCACGCCAGATCTGGGGGGCAGAGGCAGCCCCGCAGGCATGAGCTGACATTCCCAGAACCCCCTCCAGGGCAGGGCAGAGGCGAGGAGGCATCCAGGCTGGGAGCTGGCCCCCAGGGCTTCCAGCATGGCTGGGTGAAGGTCTGAGCTGGGCCCTCCAAAAGGAGCCCGAGGGGAGGGGTCTGTACAGAGGAAGGGGACATCTCCTGACCCGCGAGGGCCCTCCTCGGGGCCCTCTCACCTTCCCCACCAGGAAATCCCGTGTGGCCTTCGGCCCCGGGGAAAGGTGACCCTCTTGCCATGCCCCCTTTATCCTTCCCCTCTGCCCAGAGGCCCCTGGGACAGGAAGTCTGTGCCCCAGGGGGCTTCGGGGAGGGTGGGAGAGATTCAGGGAGAGGAGGCCGGCCAGGTGGCCAGGGCAGTGGGCAGCCAGCAAAGGCCTTCAGACCCAGAGCTTTCCATCTCAGTGAGGTTTCTTATAAATGCAGAGTCTTGGGCCCCACCCTGCCTTCCTGAGCCAGGATCTGATTTTGGACAAGCCTCCTGCTGAAGCATTCCCACCAAAGCGAGAGAAGACTGCTGGCCGGTAAAAGAGACCTTCACCCAGCGACACACGTCGCTAGGACCTAGTCTGAATCCCGACTCTAACAAATCACTTTGAAAAGACATGTTTTAGACGACTGGAAAAATCTGCCTCTGGACAGGCCATCAGATGATACTAAGGAACCGGCCTTAGTGTTGTTAGGTATGATGATGACACTGAGGCCCTGTAAGAAAGTGCCCATGCCTTTAGATGCCCGCTGGCGATCTGGGTGAAGTAACACAATGTCTGAGGGGGGCTCGGACACGTGAACATGGGGCGGGGGCGGGGGCGGGTCAGAGAAGCGAGGACAAGCGTGGACGGCTGGTGTGGGGGCGGGGCTGTGTGCTCTGCTTCTGCGTCTGTTTGCAGGATTTCTGCCGTGACTCTGAAGATGTTTTAAATTCGTGGCTGTCCCCCGGTGCCCGTGTCTCCTGTCACTGCCTTTGCTTGTCCCCGCAGACTCTGCAGGGGTCACGGCCGCATCGTTCACACCCAGAGCACAGCCCTGCAGGAAGGTGGGCACTGGGGCACGGGCACCCACCCGGACCCTCTGCATAGTCGGCGCCTCACCAGCGGACTCACCCCTGCCTTGGGCTGGACCTTGGGCCGGGGGGGTGGTCCTCTTCAGACCTTCCTGTAGTCCGCCCCACCACCACCCCCCCCCAACAGCCAGCCTGGGTCACTTCTGCCGTCAGGAAGGACAAGAAAGCTGTTTTGAGAGAAGAGGTGAAGTTCCCAGTGGGGCCTCAGTCCAGCCACTGGGTGTCGCTGTTTCTGCAGGGCCAGCATGTGGTCCCGAGGCTGGAGAAGCTCCCAGGGTGGGGCCCAAGCACACAGGCTTTTAGAGTCAGGTGGCCTCTGACCCCAGAGCCATCCCCTCCGAGCCCTCCTGCCCTGCGGGTCCGCTGGACTCCCAGCCTCCTCGGCTCCTTGCTGAGTCTCCTGCCAGATGAGCAGATTCTCAGGCTGGTCCTGCTGAGCAGGAAAGTCTGGGGATTCTGATACTCACTCATGTTTGGGGCCCTCTGCCCTCCAGACACCCGAGACTCCTTCCTTTCCTGGCCGACTGGCAAAGCACATTCCCTGCTGTGATCTGTCAGTGCTGTAGGTAACGTCTGTGATGCTGTGGGGCTTTCGGGATAAACCCCGAATGTGCCCAGGTCCGTGGGCCTGGCCCACTCTGCCTTGTAACCCTTCTCCCCATCAGGTTCAGAAAGCCTTCACGGCCGCCGTCCCCGCCGGGGATGTGCTCCCTGCTGGCGCTGGGCCTCCCTGAGCCACAGCTCACAGCTGCGCCTGCGCCTCCCCGGGGCCGTCTCGTTCATCATCGCTTACTCTCGCGGTTGACACAGAGGAGACTGTCAGTAAACAGGGGATAAACAAAACCGTGAATTACTGAAGCGAAAGGTCTGCACCGCTCCCAGGAAGAAGTGTGTTGAACGGAGGACAGAAACGCGGCTCTGCTCACAGACTTGTCAGTGTTAAGGGAGAGCAGTCAGCTCCCTGAGCTTAAAAAAGTCAGTTAGGCATC